CGTGTAGAAGTGTTCAGCCAAAAATGATCTTTATTCTCCATTTTGAAAGCTACATGCATGGTAGCGAGAAATTTAAATAGGATAGATTCCAATCTTATTAAAACCGTTGTTTCTTCTCTCTGTCATAGTGTTTACGGATCTAACACCAACAACAATAATAATTAATCACATAATACTTTATCAGCACAAAGTGAACCATAATGGTGTTTTCTGAAACAGGAGTACTTGATCGAAATTGGATAAGAAACATTAGTATGGTTAGCTGGGATTTATGGTTAAAGAATAATATAAATTATATCTTGAAGTTGAATTGAAATAATTTTTTGATATGATATTGAATCTTTGTTGATTAAGTGGTTAAGAATTCGAATTTTATCATCATTCTATTTTATTTGATAAAATTAAATACAGGATAGTGATGAATTTGCAAGTATGAATTGATGCTGAAGATGCTGCCAAAAAGCAATAGCAATTTGATTACAATGAAGTCTCTCTGTGGACTGCATTGCATCTCTTTGGCTTAGTGTAATCCGCCTAAAATCTTTCACAAAAAGAATCATGTAAACTACCAACGCTGAGCTCATGCCGCATAGAGAAGCCGGCATTTTGTGTACACCTCTGTTATCAACGGTAACAATGCTTAACTGGTTTGTCTCTACCATAGGTTTCAAGCTATAAATAGAAGGATTGAGGTATACACTTCTCCTCAGGTTGTAAGAATTAAATTAACATAAGCCTCGGAGAAAGAAAAGATACAGGAGATATGGCCAAGTCTAGCAACAAAACAACCCTGCTCTTCAACTTGACTTTGATGCTGTCTATTCTCCTCATTGCGTCTGTCGTCGAAAGCAGATCAGTTCTTGGCAGTAAGTCTTAGATCAAACACTAGTGTAATTTAAACTCTTTGATCAATTTTATCTTTCTCTTGGCCATAAGGATGGCAGGCAATATTGCAATATGAATTGATGCCCTTCTTCTTGTTTTCGGGTTCTTAGGGGCAGCAGCATCCACACCAGAGTGTGTGTCAGTGCACGGAGTAGTAACTGGAGACACTTGCTCTGCTGTTGAAAAGCAGTTCGGCCTAGCTGCTAACGACTTCAATGCAATCAACCCCAATCTTGACTGTGACAAGCTCTTTGTTGGTCAATGGCTTTGCGTTGAAGGCACATCGAATTAAGCTGCATGCTTTCCAAGTATTCAAATCTTATTGTACGCTTTTTTATGTCTATGAGGACATGAATAAGGAGATGGCCTCCATGTCGCTAGCTAGGCTTCTCTGAATTACTGGCAATTATGTGCCAGTGATCATTACACTTTATTTTTCTCGGAATTTCAACTGTTCGGCTTCATGATAAAGCTTCGGCCTCCTGTCTCTCCCATTTGTTTCCCAGGACTGGCACTATCACTATAAAAAGAAATTTTTCATACAAAAATAAATAAAAAAGAGTTAGATATTTGGGATTTTCAGTACGAAATTATCCCACAAAAATTTTATATTTTATAATTTTTTTTGATAGAAAAGTTTTATTATAAAAAGGATTTTGGTAATTATCCCTAAAAAAGGGAATACTGATGAGTGCTGAAGAATAAGGCAGCCTGTCGTTCAAGGCCCAGACTCACTCCAATACAATAAATGGGCCACAAGGCCCAACACATCTCTTGGTGCTAATTACAGGGCTGTAGGAAGTCAAAAACAAAAGCCAGCACAGCCCTAAAAGACACGTGCCACCATCAGCACTCTTGCGCTCCCAAGAATAAGAATTTTGTTACCGAGACTTCCCTTTCATGTAGATTGAATCCTTGAAACATTTACCTCATTGATAATAAGAGGTTGTCATATCATTTAAGCCATTCATACACAGCAGCAAGACTAAGGTTTTTTGAGTCACTTATATTATCTCCAAGCTTGATATTTCTTATGGTAAAATCTCAGTTAGTGAAATGGGGGACTAAGATGTGTATTTTTTTTTATTGGGGGCCATTTCATAAGAATACCTTTAAAAAATTGTATGAATTTAAGGATGATTTTGAAAGAATTTCAAACTTTGAGGGCCACTTCGTACATTCGTCACTGGCTTAACGAAAGAATTTCAAACTTTGAGGGCCACTTCCTACATTCGTCACTGGTTTAACACGTCCGTAAGAGATTAATTCTACATTTGTCATAGAGCTTGTCACCCACACCGATTCTTCAGAAAGTAAGGAAATTACTGGCTGGCTGGCTGGCTGGTTTACATTTGTCATAGAGCTTGTCACCCACACCAATTCTTCAGAAAGTAAAGAAATTACTGGCTGGCTGGCTGGTTTGATTTCTCTGTTTCAGTGACAAATAGAGAAAGCAAAGACAAGTGGTGGGTGTAAATATTGTTCCTAGAACTTTAGCTAGGAACAGCACCACGTACACTAGATGGCCTTGCCAGCTCAACTTGCAACCCAGGCGAGGTGGCTGATCGTTTTAAACATCACGACAATGCCTCCATGCAGAACAAACCAATCCTCCATGCCACACAACTCTGCCAGTCACCACCTCTTTCACCCTATAAAGTGAGCTTCAAATATCAGCCCAAGTCACCACTTCTCAGTTTTTTCTTCTTTCTTCTGCTGCCCTGTACACGTCCAGCATGACTAAACATGTTGTATTATTGCTTCTCTCTTTGCTTGCTTATGCAGCTGTAGCAAGCACTGAAATGCAGCGGAGCGAAGCGCAACAATGCCAGCTCCGGAAGATCTCTACCAGCAAACCTTCTCATCGGATGAGGTCCCAAGGTGGTGTGACTGAGATTTGGGACCCGGAGGAGGACCAATTCCAGTGTGCTGGGTTCGCTCCCATGAGGGACACTATACAGACTAATTCCCTTTCTTTGCCCAAGTTCTTCCCTGTCCCTCGCTTGGTATACATTGCTCAAGGTAAGATAAACGATTTTATAAGATCAGGCTGACTGATAATATGGACCAATAATTAAGAGCTCATTTTTATGCTCTTTGAGAAAAGGTAGCTAACAGGAGAAGTAAAATGGAACAGGTAGGGGAGTGATGGGAGTCAGCTATCCTGGATGCCCAGAGACGTTTCACGAAGATCAGCAATTTTCAAGAGGCCAAGGCCAGAAGGGAATGTCAGGAGACCAGCACCAGAAAGTTCACAGGATTCGCCGCGGAGATGTCATTGCCGTGCCAGCAGGAGCAGCCCATTGGTGCTACAATGATGGTAATGAGGAGCTCATCGCCGTCTCTGTTCTTGATCTTAACAACCAGGCTAACCAGCTGGACCAAAACCTTAGAGTAATATTTCTCTCCATTTCCCTTCGAAGTTCCAGTAACTTTTAATATGTGGTGAGGGAGCTAATTGTTGGTAATTGTTCATGTTACAAAGGGATTTATGCTGGGGGGCGGCCAATCCAGGCATGGACAGGAAAGAGCTTCTCGGAGATATGCAGGTCAATCTGAGAGGAGCCATGAAGAGACCTTCCAGAACATTTTCCGTGGATTTGACGAAGAGTTGATGGCTGAGGCCTTCAACGTTCCAAGAGAGACTGTAAGGAGAATGCGACAAGATAGTAACAGAGGACTCATTGTCAAGTGCCGAGAAGATATGAGAATCATGTCACCCGATCAAGAGGAAGAGGAACAAAGCGAATCTTCACCTCGGAACGGCTTGGAAGAAACTTTCTGCAACATGAAAATCAAACAGAACATTGAACTCCAAAGAGAAGCCGATGTTTACACTAAACAGGGAGGAAGAATCTACATTGCCAACCAGCAAAAGCTTCCTATCCTCCAATTCCTTGACATGAGCGCTGAGAGAGGCCATCTTATGCCAGTAAGTAACATTTAACCCAATTTCAACCCTTGATTTACCGTGCATTTTTAATCCAACTTCATAGAATCATTCCTCTCGCAGAATGCATTGTACACGCCACACTGGTCCATGACAGACAACAGAGTCGTCTACGCTCTCCGCGGTGAGTTGAACGCACAGGTTGTGGATGAAAGAGGAAACACCATAATGAACGAGAGAGTAAGGCAAGGTGACATGTTTGTGATCCCTCAATTCTATGCTACATTGATGAGGGCAGGAAACAATGGTTTTGAATGGGTGTCATTCAAATCAAGCAGCCAGCCAATGAAGAGTCCCATGGCTGGTTCCATTTCCGTGATGAGGGCCATGCCCGTTGATGTCATCTCCAATGCTCACCAGATTTCCCCTAGAGAAGCTGAACAATTGAAAATGAACAGAGATCCAGAGTCCATGCTGCTGTCCCCTACCAGGACCTCATCTTGAACAGAATTTTTGTTCTGCTAGCTACTTCCTGTACTCCTAGGGCCACGACTACTAAGAAATCCCTTCTTGTTTCCTTAGAGAAGGATCCATCAACCAAGAAGCTTCTGTATATTTTGTGGGCGAGTGTAAAAATGCATGTAAGCCTTCTTTTATGATCAATAAAAGGTGGCCTTCTTTTATGACAGCCTTCCAGTTCTACCTGGACCATGGCTCATATAATCTTTTTTCCCCTAACATTGCCCAGGCTAACGAAGAACAAATAGCCACTCAAAATATCGCATATCCTGAAATGACAGAATGGACCCCGCAGTACTATTCTAAAAACGACGGCCAAGAGAACTTTCTGGTGCAAATTACAGCAGCCATTTCCCAGACAATGAATTTTGTGATTTTTTTATTTGATCAAATGAAAAATGTATGCTAGCTAAGCTTTCCCAGGCCACGTGAAAACCCTGGGAAGTTCGGACCCAAAAAACAAAATTGGAAAATAAAAGAAATTCAGTAAATTTCAATTGTACAACATCCATCAGTAACTTGAAAATATGAAAACTAGATGAGGGATTGGACACCAAGCTGTTGCATTTCCATTAGCTTCCATATTGGGTAGATTGCACCCCCACCAAGTTCTTCTGGATCTACTTGTCGCATAGCCCATGCATAGTATACAGTATGGATTGTATCCTACGACAGCCACCAAAAAATTTATTCGAACTCTCGCAAGCAAGAGCAAGCAGAAAGAAGAGTGTTGATTTTTAGGAAAAACGTTTTGAGAAAGAAGATTCATATTTACCTGACCCCCTTCTGTTATTGCACCATTTTGATCACGTATACAATGGACTTGCTGTGTCTGGAACTGCATTTATTCCAAGAAACATGGCCATCAATAGGCAGAAAATCATTTAATGATTGCAATAAAGTTACCCAAAAAGGGATGCATACCGCCACAATGATTAGCGGAGAGGTTCCCATCATTTTGATCTCCCTTACTTCCACATCAGATATATGTAAAATCTGCACCAATCTTAAGGATTTTTTTATCAACTTATCAAACTGGAATATACCATGCATTCCATTTAAAAACAATATACAAATAACTGCAGTCTGCAACCAATACCTAAAAGTCATGACAACTATGAGTTCTTTCCCAACTATGAGAAACATATGCAGCCTCTTAAATAACTATCTATTTCCTAGTCTTAAATTGCTTGATAAACCCACCAAACGATTATAAATGTAGCAAAATCCCTCAAAATTAGATGTGCACACACTTGTCAACATACCGTCATTGTTTATTTCATTCTTTGTACTCATCATTTAGTAATTCTAAAAACAGTTATATACTGAATAGGCAATACAATAACATTAACTATTATGTCTGATGAATCACTTGACCACATGCTCTATCACTAAAGCAATTTGAAGGTCAACAAGAAATGCAAATGGATTACTTCATTCATGACATGTATGCTTTGCCTGGACACCACCCCCTACCCAGGCACATGTTTATGATGCTAATGATGAGATAGAACTCAGCACCCATCACATCAACAAGTAACTACAGTATGCATCCTGATATATGTTATTGTCGATTTTGATTATGACAACAAGTTCTTTCTGACTTTTAGAAACATATTTAGCATTAAAGGCCTGGCTATTTTCTAGTCTCAAATTACTCAAGAAACTCACCAAATTATTGTATATGTCACAAAATCCATCAAATATAAGATATGCATACACTGGGCAAGAGTCTCAACATACCCTGTCATTGTCTCTTCATTTTTTGAACTTGGCATATAGTAATTCTAAGAACAGTTATATATATAGCACAGCAACATGGTCTAACTTGAAGTGGAAATGTGATAGATAGCTATTACATCTGATTACTCATTTAAGAGAATTAAGTTAATAATTATGCTTGGCAAAAGCATCTACATAGTCCTCTAAAAATACAATAATTGAAATGAAAAACATTTGCCTTTACCATGGATAAAAAAAATATTAAGAAGGAATGTGCAAACCCACAGGAAGAAAAGGACATTCTTCCGCGGTAAAAACTAAGCTCAGCAAAATGGCACTCCAATCAGCTAAATGCAGCAAAATCCATGCCATTAAAAGCCTTGAACATTGCAAAATAAAGAAAGTGTTTTAAAGTGGAAATTGTTACCTTGTTATCAAAGAATATACCATGGGCCTCAAAAGCCTTATGTTCTGCTTCACGCCGATTAATCACTTCAGAGGTGCAGTATTTCTTCAAAGTTTCTATATCCCCCTGTACATAGAATAATCTTTTTTCCCCTAACATTGCCCAGGCTAACGAAGAACAAATAGCCACTCAAAATATCGCATATCCTGAAATGACAGAATGGACCCCGCAGTACTATTCTAAAAACGACGGCCAAGAGAACTTTCTGGTGCAAATTACAGCAGCCATTTCCCAGACAATGAATTTTGTGATTTTTTTATTTGATCAAATGAAAAATGTATGCTAGCTAAGCTTTCCCAGGCCACGTGAAAACCCTGGGAAGTTCAGACCCAAAAAACAAAATTGGAAAATAAAAGAAATTCAGTAAATTTCAATTGTACAACATCCATCAGTAACTTGAAAATATGAAAACTAGATGAGGGATTGGACACCAAGCTGTTGCATTTCCATTAGCTTCCATATTGGGTAGATTGCACCCCCACCAAGTTCTTCTGGATCTACTTGTCGCATAGCCCATGCATAGTATACAGTATGGATTGTATCCTACGACAGCCACCAAAAAATTTATTCGAACTCTCGCAAGCAAGAGCAAGCAGAAAGAAGAGTGTTGATTTTTAGGAAAAACGTTTTGAGAAAGAAGATTCATATTTACCTGACCCCCTTCTGTTATTGCACCATTTTGATCACGTATACAATGGACTTGCTGTGTCTGGAACTGCATTTATTCCAAGAAACATGGCCATCAATAGGCAGAAAATCATTTAATGATTGCAATAAAGTTACCCAAAAAGGGATGCATACCGCCACAATGATTAGCGGAGAGGTTCCCATCATTTTGATCTCCCTTACTTCCACATCAGATATATGTAAAATCTGCACCAATCTTAAGGATTTTTTTATCAACTTATCAAAATGGAATATACCATGCATTCCATTTAAAAACAATATACAAATAACTGCAGTCTGCAACCAATACCTAAAAGTCATGACAACTATGAGTTCTTTCCCAACTATGAGAAACATATGCAGCCTCTTAAATAACTATCTATTTCCTAGTCTTAAATTGCTTGATAAACCCACCAAACGATTATAAATGTAGCAAAATCCCTCAAAATTAGATGTGCACACACTTGTCAACATACCGTCATTGTTTATTTCATTCTTTGTACTCATCATTTAGTAATTCTAAAAACAGTTATATACTGAATAGGCAATACAATAACATTAACTATTATGTCTGATGAATCACTTGACCACATGCTCTATCACTAAAGCAATTTGAAGGTCAACAAGAAATGCAAATGGATTACTTCATTCATGACATGTATGCTTTGCCTGGACACCACCCCCTACCCAGGCACATGTTTATGATGCTAATGATGAGATAGAACTCAGCACCCATCACATCAACAAGTAACTACAGTATGCATCCTGATATATGTTATTGTCGATTTTGATTATGACAACAAGTTCTTTCTGACTTTTAGAAACATATTTAGCATTAAAGGCCTGGCTATTTTCTAGTCTCAAATTACTCAAGAAACTCACCAAATTATTGTATATGTCACAAAATCCATCAAATATAAGATATGCATACACTGGGCAAGAGTCTCAACATACCCTGTCATTGTCTCTTCATTTTTTGAACTTGGCATATAGTAATTCTAAGAACAGTTATATATATAGCACAGCAACATGGTCTAACTTGAAGTGGAAATGTGATGGATAGCTATTACATCTGATAACTCATTTAAGAGAATTAAGTTAATAATTATGCTTGGCAAAAGCATCTACATAGTCCTCTAAAAATACAATAATTGAAATGAAAAACATTTGCCTTTACCGTGGATAAAAAAAAATATTAAGAAGGAATGTGCAAACCCACCGGAAGAAAAGGACATTCTTCCGCAGGAAAAACTAAGCTCAGCAAAATGGCACTCCAATCAGCTAAATGCAGCAAAATCCATGCCATTAAAAGCCTTGAACATTGCAAAATAAAGAAAGTGTTTTAAAGTGGAAATTGTTACCTTGTTATCAAAGAATATACCATGGGCCTCAAAAGCCTTATGTTCTGCTTCACGCCGATTAATCACTTCAGAGGTGCAGTATTTCTTCAAAGTTTCTATATCCCCCTGTACATAGAGAGCATTGGTTAGTTGCTGATGAGACAGAATTTCAATTACTCATATGGGCAAAAGGTGGGAGAGTCATGATAAATGAACTTTGTGCTCACCTTCATATAAGCATTAAGGACAGGTCTAATAGCTTCCTGAACTTCTGCCACAAAATCCATCAAAGAAAATGATCTGGTAAAAACACATCCAAGGAACAAAAAAGTTCATAAATTTAAGATGTTGGAATACAGAACATTAGTTTGTGAAAAAAAGAAAAATGAAGCTCATTTGATCATACGGATCTCGACGACGTATTTCCTTGATTGATGCTGCAGCGTCACTTTCTTGAAAGATGGAATCACTGACACTGTCAAGAAAGGAAAATGTTTTATGAACTCTTTAAGGTATTCATCCTCTCTAGCAAGAGCACACAGGAGGGAGGGAGGGCCATACTCCTGGATTTTGTGAACAATGGGACTATCACTCGTCTCCCATCTATCCCGCATGTCCTCTGCAATCTAGGAATTTCAACCAAAAGGGATTTTACAAAAACGATTTGAGAGGGGCACGGTGAACTAACACCTCAAGAACTGATATGAAATTATGGAAGATCAGACCTCATGACCCTTTGTCACAACAGGTTCGCTGAGACCAGCAAAATGCTTGAATAAAGGATGACCTTGCATCTGGGTTTAAAAGATCAGAAAACATTATCATCGCAGTGAAGAAGCAAGACAATATAAAATAAGTAGCTTTATTTGTAACGAAAATTCATGCAGCATTAATAAAATTACTTTTTCTCTTATTGACTCCCATTTTTTACTCCATCGAGACTGTTTTGAGGGTAGAACAGCAATGTCATTTTTTGTGCTCATTTCACCGCTGATGGAAGGAGGAGGGGTATATTCCAGGTGCTTTCTCGTATTGGTATTACCATATAACTCATCCTTCACAACATCATATCCTTTCTTCATCATTTCACTGACCCTTGCTCCTTTCAATTTCTGGAAGGCTAAAGACACTTTTGAGGAAGGAATGCTTGATTTAAACTTTCCAAATAATGTTTCTGTTGTATCACTGGTTCCAGTCTGCTTGTCTGCTTCTTCACCAGGAAAGGCCTTTCTACATTCTTCAGCACCAACACCATCTTTA